AATCTTGTTCTGACTTTAATCATTCTATCTGCAGATGAACAGCATGTCATGAAAACCTAGGTCATTAAAGGATGTCACAAATTACTAGCTTAAACATAAAAGTATTAGTTCCATTACAATGTCACTTCCTGTTTCACTTTGGCTGAGCCAAATCCAAAAGAAAATAGGCCWGTTATGAGACAAAATGTGTAAAATAATGTGTAYTCTGCCCATTTTCTTAAGAATAAAGATGTTTTCTTTGACTTTTTGTATTTGAAGGATAGGCATGTCACAGGCACTTTAGGGAACAATSTTGTGCAGTGAGGATGAGTGTAAATTATTACCACATCAAATGCAGGTGAATATTTGTAAGACTGACACACAGTCATCTGATTCATACTGCCTTCAAAAGGTCATTAGTCGTAGATGTATGGACAATTATCACTTTACAAGTTTCATTAAAATTTGCTGTTATGAGATATTTTGGTAACAGAAGAACATTACCACCTGTGATAAAAAGCCCTTTTTTTGTGGTGGGGAGGTTGTGGTTGGGCRCTCTGCTCAAACTTCTACCTTTGTTTAAACAAAGCAGGAGGAAGGACAGCAGGTGTTGGACTGAGAGGCACCACGAGGCAGAGCAGTTGTAATTAAAGCAGATGTGATAAATCTTTCATGACTAAACCTGTTCTGCATTAAGTGGACGTGCCGCGTGAAGAAACCTGTCGGCAAAGACAAACAATCAGCAGAGTAGCTGACTCAAGTCCCCGCAGTCCCACAGCGTCTCAGCAGTGGTAATGAAACAACTCATTATGAAACCCACTAATACCTCAGTCAACACTTCTGACTCTGGGTGCAATTATAAGAATTACCTTAAACTATGTTTCAAAAAAAAAAAATCAAAAGCTAAACGCAAACATAGAATGTTATTTCTATATAACATTATCTAAACAAGTATTTTATAGATAAATGTTTGAGTTCTAGTTAAGTTGTGTTTAGTCTCTCCTGGTGAGTAGATAGCTTTATACTTTGGGTCATCTTTTTCCAACTTWTTCAGTTTTCTCTATTTTCTACATCAAATTATTTGAACTGCCAAATAAAGTCTGGACTTTTACTCTGGACCAACTACAGTTAGGTAGTCTTCATTCTCCTCTGGCTCCAACATGTAAGACTGGATGGACAAGTCTCTCTTTGGTGACATCTTTTAATTCATTTGTAAATAAAACGTTTCTGCTCTGCTATATAGTTCCCCCTATCAAAGTAGAATGGACTGGGAAGGGGG